ACATTAGAAGAAATAGCGAAGGCCATCAGAGAAATCAAAAATGGTAAACAGCTGAACCAGTCAGCAAACCACAAGAAGCACTAATCAAAGATTAGGCTTGAAATTAGTGAAAATCATCCATTTTTGACATATATATAACCTATGTATTCAGTGAAAATTGATTTCAATTTAGTGAAATAATCTAGTAGTTCCAAACCAACAAATTGGATTTCACAATCAGAATTCTTTCCTGTATTTTAAAAGTAACTTATTCTTTAGACTTGTGATCAAGTAATCTAGTCAAATTTAAACTGTTGTCTAATACTGTTGATGTATGAAGACAGGGTTCAGTTTATACTGGACATAGAATAAACAAATAAACTGGATTTCGTAAGAACACAGTCCACGTGACAAAACATAATTTAGTAGAATTTGTGTCAATAAATGATTAAGTGAACAAAATTATTTCATGGAGATACTTATGGAGATATAATTTGTGAGAACTGACTTAAGTCCCTAAAAGAACTGGAACTAGAAATTTGTGGCTAAATATTCCGTCCTAGTCTATGTCTGATTGGCAGTGCAAATCTTCAAACTTATGTAATTATGAGCATGAAGGTGAACAGATTGTATAGCAGTGGTTTGAGATCACACCATTTAAAGCATCCGTATTCAGTCCATTTTCAATGCACCTCTATCATGTAATGTTGCATCTGACTATCAAAATTGAGTTATTTCATACATTAAAGCTGTACACTATTATTTTAGAAAACTTACCTTAGGAACAACTAGAAAGTAGAGCCCGTGACAATGTTGTTTGGAGATCCTCAGTAGAGATACTTTTTATCATGCTTATGAAAGTAAGCTGCTGTGTTTTTGTCTTATCATTCTATGAGAATTGACGGATAGTTTCACTGCATTAGATATTACTAATCACATTAATTTGTGCTAGCTGTTCTATCTTGTCACATTATTCAAATTTAATTATATACTCTTTGAAGTGGTATCAAGCGATTATTAGATTTCTGAGAAATGACTGAAATTTGATCGTGATAAATTTCCATTCTTAATTCTTATGCAGTTAGTTTTAAATGATCCAACGTTTTGTGATCAAGTGAAAGATCGCGATACTAGGATATGTCATCTGATTGTTATTATCAGTCATAGATGAAATTTCAAAATATTCTGAAACTTTCTATTACTGTTATTATTGTCACCACAGTAAACTATCAAAGTCGATGTCACATAGTTAAGATGTTGTTTTATACTAAATAGTCTTAATTTGAACCCTTTCAACAGAATAAAGTTGTCGTATTTTAATCCTTCAAACTTAGCTGATACCATTATTAGAATGTAACCTTAACTTAGAAGAATGTTATTATGGAAGCTGTTCAAATTTTAGATGTTAAAAAACTTATAAATCCTAACTCTATGATCATAGTTAAAGTAAGACATGTTTGTCAACTGACTGTTTTAAATAAGAATATAAAAAAACGTGAGTGGATGACATGTAAGTCTGTGGTTTAAATATCTTTTGTAAAACAGATTACTCCAGCATTTTTCCATCATTCTTCTTGTTTTTATCTTGGTTCTCATCAGCTGCTTACAACCTATAGCATTTGAACATCAACGTTATCACAGATATTGACATACTTATATATATGAGGGTGATTCAAGATGATGTAGTGAAGATTCCAATAAGTTCATGAAAAATTTTGTTTCTGATAAATAAAATTTGTCAGGGAAAGCTCCATAATATCGAACCAGTGATTAGTAATTACACAGTTAACAAACATTAGATAATTATGTAACGAAGTAATTGAAAACAAATTAATGATAATGAAGAAAGATGTGAATTGAATTCAGCCAATTGTGGATTAAAGAAAAATGACAATGATGTAATCAAAACTACAGAAAGAGTTGAAATAATGGACGATGCATTAAAAAGGATGCAGTGTTAGCAGGGCAAATAAAGATTTACTACTGCTTCTTTTTGGACATAGATCTGATTTTAGACGTTTGATCGCTGTACCTTCGGCAAATTTCACAAGGTTGGAGTTCGATTCTTTATCAATAACCTTGAACAACTTCAGTGTATCCACTTCATGTCCTGTATCAAAGAGATATATCAAGATGGAACTTCTGAATGCTTTTAATCCACTTGACCTCGGACTTTTGGAAATATGTTCTTTGAATCGGACGTGTTCTCTCCTTTCTGTTTTACCGAATTAACTGTTTTGGCAGATACTTGTGAATTTGTATACACATTTGGTGGTAACATGAAAGGGATACCTATTGATCTATGATTATGTTAAAGAACATGCTGTTTTGGACAAGACATTCAATTTAGCTGAAGGATAAGCTCTTGTCAATGATGTTTTGAGTCTCATATTGATTGGCCGTGTCACATCATTTTTGAATTGAAGTTGCATAAAAATAGGTTTTTGTTTACTGTAGTTTCTTCAGGTGTTTAATCTTAACGTTCTGCGTATTCCTTAATAAGTTTCAGTTGGTATCGGTTGTTTTACAAACATCTTTTCTCTTTCATTAGTTCTTTTTCCAATGTATCGACAGTATATTTTCTTTCTGCTTTTAATTTTTAGAAGTTCAGATTCCTCCACATCTGTAGGTCCTAATATGAACCTAAATTATTATGATAATACATTAAAATGAATAACTCGTTGAAGAATTTGATTGTTATCATAATGGCTTTTGTGGAGATTTTGGTAATTTTATAGTTGAAATAATGAGTCAAATGAATCTAGACCACCATGGAAAACTTGGAACCACTGAACAGCCGTTTCGTCTTATTGCGGGACTACTAAGCAAGGCGCATCCACGATCCCGCCTTCCGGGATTCGAACTCATGATCTATCAGTCTCGCGAGCGAGTGCCTAAAATTATTAACATTACTAACATATGCTCACTAGTGACTGACTACAAGAGGTATTTCCTGGAGTTCTAGTGAGAAGCAGTGATCAATGGTGTTCAACCAGGTGTGTTGTGAGATATCAACTCGCTGAAGACAATGGTGGACAGTTGCTCAATTTCATGGATTGGTTGAAGTTAGACATTAACACCGTTGGATGCTCGCCGGCTCAGTGGTGTAGTGGTTAAGCGCTTGCGCGTGAGACTGATAGGTGCTGGATTCGAATCTTGTGAGGCGGTATTGTGGATGTGCACTGCAGAGGAGTCCCATAATAGGACGAAACGGCCGTCCAGTGCTTCCAGGTTTTCCATGGTGGTGTAGCTTCAATTGACTCATGATCTCAACTATAGTATTTGAGTGTACAGTTTTTCTTCTCGTACAAGTATTTAAAGATGCATACAGCGGCAATATTTTGTGACCATAAGTCTACTGAACCGAAATCCTTTTCAGATTTTCTTTTCATCAGTACTTTAGAAACTGTTACTAGAGTATTAACTACTGCGATTTCAATAAAATCTTGAATTAGGACCACAGATAACCACACATAATGCCTAATCGAAACTGAAATAATATTGAGTGCATTTACGCAAACACATATTTCATTTCATCTGTGATCGGGTGCTGTGAATAATATCAATTTCAGAATGAATCATGATAAAATAAAGTATTGTAAATTCTAAATCCTATTCTCTTCGCAACGACGTTTTCATATACACGTGAAAAAGTGTTTCTATCATCCAAATATTATTGATTATACAGCTGAATTAAGTTTTTCTATGACCATGGATAAGCATTAAATATCATTAATTGACGGTTTTCGTTGTTTTAATTTGGCTTTTGTTACAGATTAATATCACTTGTAATAATTAGAAACACAGGAATCACTGTTATTTAGATTACTTTGTATGGATTTTGTAGTTTAATCATAACCATGTGCATACTAGCAACCCGAGAATCGATGTTCGAAGTTTCTAGACGAAAGCGTAACTCTACTAAATAAAAGAATTCGAGAGTAAAATAGTAATTGCTCATTGCGGGATGGAGATTACGCGATACAGTACATTTACATGATTTGAAATTGCAAACCAGTGGATTTCAAATGCTCACTAAGAAAACTGAAGCTTTCATTAAGTTTTCAAGTTGACAACATTTAAAGTGCCCCAAACTATTCGAATAATTTATATTCTGATATAAGTTTAGGCTGCTCAATTAACCAGTTGAACAACCATTCCATTTTGTTTCAGGATTTGTTATATGAAGTTTTCTATTCCCTAATTATAGACCTCATCAACAATCCCAACATTGTTATACTAATTTGATTGAATGTTATTTTCACTTCTTCCTGAAAAGATCTAGAAAAGAGAGCAACTATATAATACATTTTACTTTTCTTGTTGAACTTCATGTTCATTCACCACAAATATCATTTGGGCATCTGTTTATTATGTTATATATATATATATATATATCTTCCGTGTTGGCACAAAAGTATTAAGCATTTTAAATGCTGTTTTTTCCTACGAAAACACATGCACATACAATGGCTTGTAACCCAATTGCCTAAATTCATATACAAATGTATATACATAAAAATGATTTTGTTTTACTCTTTTCTCCTATATCTTCCTCTAGATTTTACTTTAGACCTAGATTCAGAGTGAACGTTATGGTAATTCCATCTTTCATTACTTCTTGCTAAAATCAGTTGTTATTGTCATCACTTATTATTATTATTATTATTATTATTATTATTATTATTATTATTATTAATTACCATCCTGACGACGATGATGTTGCTGATAATAAAAATACCACCGAACATCATGTAGTTACTATGCTTTTACACGAAAATTTATAAACAGTATATTTGGAGGTGGGAGAATAGGATAGGGAAATAAAATCATTTTTTAAACCCACCCCGTACTTTCGTGCTACTATCATCATTACCAGTAGACTTGTACATTATAACACACTTGGTTAACTACACCTACCAGAAAACAAGATATTCGAATGGTTAAACTAATTTAGCTTTTTCAAAACTTTTTAAAAAAGAAAATGCATAATTATTATTTCTCTTTTTATTTTCATTTAGAACTCTTTTCATTGGTCAATGGGATTTGGATGGTTTTATGGAGAAAGAGTGAAAGAGAATGCAAGAAAAAACAATAAAAATTATATTTAATAATTAAAGAAACTACTAATATACACAACTACCACAAATATATTTTAATAGATGACTTGCCATGTTGTTTTCAATTTAGGACTCGTTTTTTTTAGCAATGGATGAAATTAACTGGGAGATACCTGGAAATTAGTGGAAATATATACTCAATAATGATACTTAAGGTTATTATATTTGATTGTGTATAGAAATTGTGAATGAACACTACAGAAAAGCTCCGGATTAAAACTAAAGAACTGTCTTGTTTCTACCTGATTTTTCAGTGCTGATCCAGTTAATGACATTTTACTATGCAAATTGTTTCATAAAAGCAGCCCGTGTTACCTCTTCATTTATTCTGATCTGGTTTTAATTTCTACTGTAAAGTTTCATGTATTATAGGCAATGGTGAAAGATAATGATAACAAGATATTGTTAAAGGTAATATAACTTGGAAAAGACTAACTGCAAAACTCTAAACTCTGGATTCCTTTAGGAACTATTGTTCTTAGATAATTGTGTACAAGCTGACCGAAATCTGTAGCGTTATTTTTAAAAAAACATTTAAAAGCTATTCTAATCACACTTTGATATTTACAATCTAGCTCATCAATAGTGTATATAAATTAATTCAGGTCGCTTAAACTATCACTATAGTGGACGCTATTTATTGACTACAATAGTTTCCAACTACTCACGTTTTCTTTGACATACACCGTGATATATTTAAATATATGAAAATAATAATAAATGGATAGTGATTTATTTGTTACTGAGTAGTAAACCATTTCATAATGTCTACTCTGGAATTGTAATCGAATATGGCTATTAGACTAAGTTGCTGGACACTCTACATTCGTCGGTGATTTCACTTCCTAAATTTAACGATTATCCTGGTATAAATAAATTCAAATTAGTCGGTTCTTTGAGAAAACGCGTTGAGTTAGTGTATGGCATTGTAGACACTTTCTCACCAGTAATTAGTCAATTTTTTGTTACGATAACCGGAAACTGAACCGAACGAAATTTTTTAACTACATCCACTTTCAAAGACTGAATAACTTGGAAATACTCATTTCACCATTGCACTTATTTTATCTTAATTAATTTGAGTTCTCAGATCACTATTAAAACATGGTCGTTATCCGCCATTCAGGTCGGAAAGTAATTTAGCTCTTCATAATCAGTGTTCAACATTCTCATTTTGGGAATACTTATATACCTGGCCTTACTATTACAACTCTACTAATCCATGAATGATTGGGTGAATGTATGTTGAGATACGTTGAAAGGTACTGTCTGGAATCGGTTGCAGTCAGATATTAATTATCTTAGTAGTTGAATCCAACTTCGCCTTTAGCTCCTCTAGGGTTACTACTGGTTCCAAGCCTAAATAAAAGAATAGGGTTGGACGAGGACGTGGAATCAGTAACTCCATACCATAGAAAAAATAGCCTTTCCAAGAAAAATAATCAGTCTTTGAATCAAAAGTTAATGTTTAGTCACATTTTAGACCTATCAGGTAGATGTAATTACATACCTGTTTCTGATTTTTATTCAAGCTCAATTCGAAAGCCGATTGCTATAGGATCCAGATAGTATTCAGTTAACTACAGAGTTGATGTAACCTCTTGTGAGATTGTTGTTATTTGCAATCAACAGATTTTACTTCTCTATTGGTCTTAAGGCTCAGACTGATCAGCCTTCGAATTATAATCTAAAAGCAGAGTAGATGACTTTGCATAAAGTGGCTAGCGATACAACATCAGTTATTGGTCCATTATTTCAGCGAAAAAATATCACTACTATGAACATGCAAGCATCTTTATTCGTGTTTGCTTATTTGTTTTTCTCTTACTCTAAATAAATCAAACCAAGTGACTGTTTTTTAAACGGAAGTTAACCTCAGTAAAATAGTTGATATCTTTTCACATTGTGAAATATTTATTCGTCTGTGTCTGAATACAATTCTACATATACAGGTACTGAAATCGTGTGTCAGCTCAAGATTATGAAAATCTGATTAGGGGACTATCTAAATATTACTCTTTCTCACTTTCACATTTATACACACATACGCAAAAAAGTACACATACTCCCAAAAATCTTGGTCATTTTACCATCAATGTAGCAAACACAAACAAAAAATTATTCAACTCTATCTGGTAGGAAAATAAACAAAATAAAAATTACTTTGTGTTACTTTTTCATCTTAGTTTGTTCAATAAAGTCAATGTTTACCAACCATAATTATTAGCAATAAAAATAATAACAGAACAACAGTTTTATCATATATAATACCAAAATATGTTTATATTCAGAGATAGAAAGGCTGTATATGGTATAAAGAAACAGTTCTTTAAATGAAATTATTTTCTTGCTTCTTACAACTCCTGTCATTTATGCTGTTAAAAAAGTAAATATCATGTATTTAAATATCGCGGTAAAATTATTCATCTCGAAAAATCTAGCTAGACAAATTAGGTACATGTGGGTTAGATAATGACTTGAACGAACTAACACAAGAAACCAAACAAAATAGTTACACATAAAGTTACCAAGTCCATCGAATGATTATTGACTATCATGGTTATGAAGATGATTTCTAATACTCAATGGAAATCTTGACCATATTATAGAATGATTGATCATCCTTGAGAAAACCCATCAGTGATTCACTAAACTATTGTAATGACTGTTAGATATGTGATCACATGGAATGTTTGGTTTCAGGGTTATTCATCTCAGGCGCCTATCAGCAACCTTTATCAATTTCACAGGTGACTTGCTAGTGCAAACTATGATTAATTGATCATCAGGATATCCATTGATAACTTCATTTGAATTGTCACTTGCATCAGAATAGCTGAACTTCTGGCTGTAAATATTAATTGTCATTTTAATCTTTTATACTGACTTATAAACCATAAATCAGGGATATCATTACTTCGTAATCCATTATCAATTCATATTATAATCTCGCATATGAAATATATCTCAGTAACACCACGTGATTCATTTTGAATATTATCATTCATGTTGATGCAAATTTTTTAATAATTCCTTACCTACTTACTTACTTACTTACTTACTTGCTTGCTTGCTTGCTTGCTTACTTACTTACTTACTTACTTACTTACTTACTTACCTACTTACTTACTTACTTACTTACTTACTTACTTACCTACTTACTTACTTACTTACTTACTTACTTACTTACTTACTTACTTACTTACTTACTTACTTACTTACTTACTTACTTACTTACTTACTTACTTACTTACTTACTTACTTACTTACTTACTTACTTACTTACTTACTTACTTACTTACTTACTTACTTACTTACTTACTTACTTACTTACTTACTTACTTACTTACTTACTTACTTACTTACTTACTTACTTACTTACTTACTTACTTACTTACTTACTTACTTACTTACTTACTTACTTACTTACTTACTTACTTACTTACTTACTTACTTACTTACTTACTTACTTACTTACTTACTTACTTACTTACTTTCTTACTTACTTACTTACTTACTTACTTACTTACTTACTTACTTACTTACTTACTTACTTACTTACTTACTTACTTACTTACTTACTTACTTACTTACTTACTTACTTACTTACTTACTTACTTACTTACTTACTTACTTACTTACTTACTTACTTACTTACTTACTTACTTACTTACTTACTTACTTACTTACTTACTTACTTACTTACTTACTTACTTACTTACTTACTTACTTACTTACTTACTTACTTACTTACTTACTTACTTACTTACGCCTGTTACCCCTCGTCGAGGAGCATAGGCCACTCACCAGCATTCTCCATCCAACTCTGTCCTGAGCCTTCCTTTCCAGTTCTTTCCAGTTACTATTCAGCCTTTTCATATCTGCTTCTATTTCTCGGCGTAGTGAGTTCTTTGGCCTTCCTCTTTTCCGCTTCTTTTCCGGATTCCAAGTTAGGGATTGAGTCGTGATGCACATTGGTGATTTCCTTAATGTATGTCCGATCCACTTCCAACGTCTTTTCCTAATTTCCTCTTCAGCTGGAAGCTGGTTTGTCCTCTTCCATAAAACGCTGTTGCTGATAGTATCCGGCCAATGGATGTTGAGTATTTTGCGTAGACAACTATTTATAAATACTTGTACCTTCCTGATGATGGTCGTAGTAGTTCTCCACGTTTCAGCTCCATACAGTAGGACTGTCTTGACGTTCGTATGAAAGATTCTGACCTTGAACTTGGTTGAGAGTTGTTTTGAGTTCCATATGTTCTTCAATTGTAGAAATGCTGCCCTTGCTTTGCCAATCCTCACCTTTACATCTGCATCCGATCCTCCTTGTTTATCAACGATGCTCCCCAGGTACTTGAATGTTTCCACCTCTTTCAGAGTTTCGCCATCAAGTGTGATTGGGTTGGTGTTCTCCGTGTTGCATTTGAGAATCTTGCTTTTTCCTTTGTGAATGTGGAGGCCTATCGATGCGGAGGCTGCCGCTATATTTGATGTCTTCATCTGCATTTGTTCGTGTGTATGAGAGAGGAGGGCTAGGTCATCTGCGAAGTCCAAATCATCTAATTGATTCTGAGAAGTCCATTGTATTCCGTATTTCCCGTCAGATGTCGAATTCTCCATAATCAAGTCAAACACTAGAAGGAAGAGGAATGGGGAGAGTAGACAGCCTTGTCTGACTCCGGTCCTTACTGGAAATGCATCTGTCAGCTGTCCTCCATGCATGACTTCGCACTGTAGTTCATCGTATGAGTTTTGGATAATGTTGACAATCTTTTCAGGAACTCCATAGTGTCGAAGAAGTTTCCATAATGTTCTCCTATTCACGCTGTCAAACACCTTCTCATAGTCAATGAAGTTGACTTATAGTGATGAGTTCCACTCAACTGATTGTTCAACGATGATCCGTAGTGTCGCAATCTGGTCTGTGCATGACCTATCCTTACGGAATCC